TTAAATGGTTAGGTGTATTTTTTTACATGTAGATGTGTAAGATTCTTCTCTGATTTGTCTGATTTTTTCATGAATTGGATTTTGTTTTTGTTTTTGCATTATATTGAAGAGTATTTTATAAAGTATTTTATTTATTTTAATTGTTTACATACTTTCATAACACTCATACTGTGATCATGGCCTTAGTGCCGAAATACGTATCAGTTTAAATAAAAAATGAATTTCAGAGTACTCTGGTTTTTATTATTTTGCTTAATAATATATATATCTAATATATAAAATTCTCGTGTCACAGTGTTTGTCTGCAAACTCCTCCGGAACGACTTCACCGATCGTTATGAAATTTGGTGTGTAAATTCTGTAGGTATGCGAATCGGACGTAAACTATTTCCCGTTTCGAAATTCTTAAAAGGGCTCCGCCCCAGTGGCTCTGGAGTTTCCCATGTTAACCTTATGAGAAATGGAATTAATGAATCTTAACAGCTGTTTCAATTAAACAAGTTGGTTCTGTTCTATGATGTTCAATAGCATTAAAGTTACAAGGATTACCAACAGGGTGCAGCACTATTATTTCTTTTACATTTATGACAACAGCTAATTTGCAACCAAAAGGTGAGTGAGCGTAGCGAACGAACTTCAACCTGGAGGCGAGTTAGCGTAGCGAACGAGCTAACCTGAAGGCAAGTGAGCGCAGCGAACGAGCTAACCTGAAGGCAAGTGAGCGCAGCGAACTAGCTCCAACCTAAAGTTGAGTGAGCGTAGCGAACGAGCTCCAACCCAAAGGTGAGTGAGCGTAGCGAACGAACTTCAACCAGGACGTGATTGAGCGATGCGAACATCTAACCTGAAGGCAAGTGAGCGCAGCGAACGAGCTCCAACCCAAAGGTGAGTGAGCGTAGCGAACGAACTTCAACCAGGACGTGATTGAGCGATGCGAACGAGATCATCTTGAAAATTAATCTAATATATAAAATTCTCGTGTCACAGTGTTTGTCTGCAAACTCCTCCGGAACGACTTCACCGATCGTTATGAAATTTGGTGTGTAAATTCTGTAGGTATGCGAATCGGACGTAAACTATTTCCCGTTTCGAAATTCTTAAAAGGGCTCCGCCCCAGTGGCTCTGGAGTTTCCCATGTTAACCTTATGAGAAATGAATTAATGAATCTTAACAGCTGTTTCAATTAAACAAGTTGGTTCTGTTCTATGATGTTCAATAGCATTAAAGTTACAAGGATTACCAACAGGGTGCAGCACTATTATTTCTTTTACATTTATGACAACAGCTAATTTGCAACCAAAAGGTGAGTGAGCGTAGCGAACGAACTTCAACCTGGAGGCGAGTTAGCGTAGCGAACGAGCTAACCTGAAGGCAAGTGAGCGCAGCGAACGAGCTAACCTGAAGGCAAGTGAGCGCAGCGAACTAGCTCCAACCTAAAGTTGAGTGAGCGTAGCGAACGAGCTCCAACCCAAAGGTGAGTGAGCGTAGCGAACGAACTTCAACCAGGACGTGATTGAGCGATGCGAACATCTAACCTGAAGGCAAGTGAGCGCAGCGAACGAGCTCCAACCCAAAGGTGAGTGAGCGTAGCGAACGAACTTCAACCAGGACGTGATTGAGCGATGCGAACGAGATCATCTTGAAAATTAAACGTAACGGTACTTAAATTATAAATAGTCAAAGGCAAGACAACGTCTGCCGGGTTTTCCATCGGTCTGTCTTAGGGGAAACCTATAACTTAGGCGATACGAAGTTCGCCGGGTCAGCTAGTATATATATATATATATATATACACATATATATTTATATTATGAAAACTGTAGTGATTAGGGCTACTATTTTGATATAAATTACATTATTTGAAACTAAGTATCCTTTTAAAAACTCATTTTATTACAAATCAATAAAATCAATAAAATGATTTTTTTAAAGGGTACCTACCTACTTAGTTTCAAATAATGTATTTTTATACATTTACTAGCTGGCCCGACAGACTTCGTCCTGTCCTAATGTGGTTTTATGTCAAATGCTCGTTCATTTTTAAGATGAGCTCGTTCGCATGGCTCAATCACGTCCTGGTTGAAGTTCGTTCGCTACGCTCACTCACCTTTTGGTTGCAAATTAGCTGTTGTCATAAATTAAAAAAAAAATAATAGTGCTGCACTCTGTTGGTAAACCTATTACTTTTTAGCGAATTTCCCTATTTGGAAGTAGCTGTTACCATAGGTGGCATGGTAAGACCTAGGCCCGGGACCGATTTACTTTTTCATTTTGATGTCCCCAGAGGCCAAAAACACCATTCGTTCAAATTTTTATATATGCATATATATATATATATATAGAGAGATTTATATATATATATGTGTCCGTGAGTAATTTTTGTCCGATTTTGATGAAATTTGGTTTAAAGGTGTAAAGCGGGTTAAACTTGAATGAGTTCGCGAACCAGCATGATCGGACCACGGGAACACGGTTTTACAGGGGGTTTTATGGGGTAAAAATTGGTTTTTCTCACTTTTGACCCTCAAAACACAAAATTTCCAAATTTCTCTTTAGACCTTTTTAAAGAGCTTAAGAAAACAAATAATTTAGTATATCAAAGTATTTTTGTTAAATTATTGGCAACGGAGAAAATTAAAAAAAATTGTAAATTTAAAATTCCCATGTTATTCTTATAAAGAATATTGTAAAATGTTGTAGTTTGCTTGTTTATGGATATATTTTGATCAAACTTGGCAAATTAATTTATTTTAAACTAAGCTATTAATATTTGACAAAAAAACACACTTTATCAGTTTCATTGTAGCAGCAAACCTAGATACTCGTTAAACCTTTTGTTATTTAAATATAATTAATGAAAATCAATTCAGACAAAAGGAAATTCGCTTAGTCGGCAGGTTTGCTGCGGCGGGGGTATTAATGCTATTGAACATCGCAGAATCAAACTGTTTAGTTGAACCAGCTGTAAAGATTCTTTAATTCCATTTAAATATGAGTACTCATAAGGTTAACATGGAAAACTCCAGAGCCACTGGGGCGGCGCCCTTTTGACGGATCTGCACCAAACTTCACACAAACCATCCTTGAATAATGCTTAATAATGCCTGAAAGTTCCATTACAATCTGTCGAGCAGTTTCGGAGTCCATAAAGGACAAACGCACAAACAAACAAACAAACATACATACATTGGATTTTATATATATAGATATATGTGTCCATAAGCGATAACTCAAGCAAAAGTCATCAGATTTTTATGAAATTTGGTACAAACGTGTAAACCTACGTTTATTTGGTTGAGTTCGCGAACCAGAATCGGACTATGGGTAGAGGGGTTTATGGGGGGTTTTATGGGGTAAAAATTGGTTTTTCCCATTTTTGACCCTAAAAACATAAAATTTAGCAACTTTTTTCCAAACCATTTTGCAGAGCTTAAAAAACAAATAATTTAGTATATTGAAGAATTATTATGCGCCTAATGGCTACGGAGAAAATAAAAAAAAAGTAAATTTAAAATTCTCCTGTGATTCTTATGGAGAAAATTTTTAACTGTTGTAGTTTGCTTGCTTAAGAGCATATTTTGATCAAATTCGGAAAATGCATTCATTTCATACTAAACTATTAAAATTTTACAAAAAAACACTTTTTTATCACCCTCCCTGTCGCAGCAAACCTAAGTAGGTACTTGTTAAACAAATGCTATTTAAATTGGGAATAAATGTAATATTTTTAAGGAGACATTTTAGTGTAAATCCAATCAGGCAAATGGAAATTCGCTTAGTCTGCAGGTTTGCTGCAGCGGGGGTATTTTATTAAAATTAATGTGTTATGGTCCTTATAATTCTAAACAAAATAATGCAACCCCCATTACTGTAACAATTACTGTTCAAAAGTTATAACAACTTTTGTGATTATTTCCTACAAAATTATCATAGCTCACATGATCTAAAAACCTTTAGAGGTTGTTGAGGTTAAAGGTTGTTGACAAGCTTATGGGAGAAAGTATACGTCAGATTTCTGATACCATTTATTTATGCGTGATTTTATATTGTACTAGCTGTGTACCCGTTCTACGCACGGGGATCTTATAATATTCAGTTGAAACCTTCTTATATAAAGAACAGCAGTTGGTTTGCATATTTTAAGATATGCTGGCCAAACTATTATACATAGCTTCATTTTATGTTGTTTTTTGTTGTTCCGGATCGGTATGACAATCAATAAAAGGTTAAATTACCTCTGTGTCTGCCGGTCGATCCTATAACGGTAGGCTTACTTTTATTTTTACTATCTGATCTCGTTTGCATGGCTCAATCACGTCCTGGTTGAAGTTCGTTCGCTACGCTCACTCACCTGTATGTTGGAGCTCGTTCGCTGCGCTCACTTTCCTTCAGGTTAGCTCGTTCGCTACGCTCACTTGCCTTCAGGTTAGCTCGTTCGCTACGCTCACTCGCCTCCAGGTTGCAAATTAGCTGTTGTCATAAATGTAAAAGAAATAATAGTGCTAGTGCTGCACCCTGTTGGTAATCCTTGTAACTTTAATGCTATTGAACATCACAGAACAGAACCAACTTGTTTAATTGAAACAGCTGTTAAGATTCAATAATTTCATTTCTCATAAGGTTAACATGGGCTTCCAGAAATTCCACGTCAAAAATCGACAAAAACTTGATTTTCAAGGGTTTACTGTTAAATATCTAACTGTCTCATATTCGATGAAATACGTCTAAAACCATCTCATATATGTATAGTATTTAGAAAATAAGTTTCAGGCGGGACAGTGCTATAGTTATTGAGGAGTAGTTGTAATAAAGTGCGTATTTTAGCGTTACCAAGAGAATGACAGATAGACAGACAGACAGACAGACAGACAGACAGACAGAAATTGAGATAAGGTTTGATTCGGTTTCTCTGACCTATGAAATGTAAAAATAACCAAAAAGTTCATTATTCTAAGCAATGTACAGACAAAACTCTAATTTTATTTATATAGATTGGAAAAAACTAATAATAACAATGTTATGTTCAGGGTTTGCTTAAAAATAAGTCAGTGATAAGTTAATGATTATCACGTATAAAATAGATAATTAACTTAGCTCAGAGCATTAATTGTACATTAATGAAAAAATGTCATGGATTCTGAAATTACAAAGTGACGCTTGCTACTAGTGTTCCTTTAAATAGCATTTAGGTGTAAGATTTTTTCCTATGTAATGAACGTATGTGAGTCATTTTCCGGTTTGAACAGATTTTTGTTACATCAAAGGTTTTATAATTCTTAAGAAGTTTGCAATTGTGGTGCATTCATCGCTCTCCGGTATATGCTAATGCATGTTCATTCATATTACTTTCGGCTCTGAAGGATTTTTATGAAGTGAACTTATACGGTCAAACTCCTGCATGAACCATTGTATGTTTCTTCATTACACTATTGGTTGAGAAGGATTTTCCGCAAATAGTGCACTTATAAGGTCGTTCTCCAGTATGAACCAATGAATGTGTCTGCATTATACTTTTGGTTGAGAAGGATTTTCCGCAAGTAGTGCACTTATAAGGTCGCTCTCCAGTATGAATCAATGTATGTTTCTTCATTGCACATTTAGTTGAGAAGGATTTTCCGCAAATAGTGCACTTATAAGGTCGTTCTCCAGTATGAATCAATGAATGTGTCTGCATTATACTTTTGGTTGTGAAGGATTTTCCGCAAGTAGTGCACTTATAAGGTCGCTCTCCAGTATGAATCAATGTATGTGTCTTCATTATACGATTGGTTGAGAAAAATTTTCCGCAAATAGTGCACTTATAAGGTCGCTCTCCAGTATGAACCAATGTATGATTCTTCAAGTTAGTTTTTTCGGTAAAGGATTTTCCACATGTATGACACGTATACGGTTTTTCTTCAGTATGAATCAATTTATGTCTCTTCAAGTGGCCACTGGTTATAAAGGACTTTTTGCAGGTATTGCATTTATAAGGTCTGTCTCCAGTGTGAACAAATGCATGTCGTTTCATGAAACTATTGGTTGTGAAGGATTTTCCGCAAGTAGTACACTTATAAGGTCGCTCTCCAGTATGAACCAATGTATGTTTCTTCAAATCGGGTTTGAATGTAAAGGATTTTCCGCATGTATTGCACTTATAAGGCCGCTCTCCAGTATGAACCAATGTATGTCTCTTCAGTTGGCCAATGGTTATAAAAGTCTTTCTGCATGTAGTACATTTATAAGGTCCGTCTCTAGTATGAACAAATGTATGTTTCCTCAAATTATTTTTAGCTTTAAAGGATTTTCCACACGTAGTACACTTATAAGGTCGCTCTCCAGTATGTTCAAATATATGTTCCTTCAAACTACTTTTGCTTCTAAAAGATTTTCCACATGTAGTGCACTCAAAAGGTCTCTCTCCTGCATGAACCAATGTATGTTTCTTCATTTTTGAATTGGATATGAAGGATTTTCCACATATATTGCACTTATAAGCTCCATCCCCAGTATGAATCAATTTATGTTCCTTCATATAGCTTTTGCTTGTGAATGATTTTCCACATGTAATGCACTTATAAGGCAGCTCTCCAGTATGGGAAAATTTATGTTTCGTAATACCGTTTTTGTATCTAAAGGATTTTCCACATGTATTGCACTTGTAAGGTAGCTCTCCAGTATGAACCAATGTATGTATCTTCAAATATTTTTTGGCTGTAAAGGATTTTCCACATGTATCACACTTATGAAGTCTTTCTACAGTATGAACCAATGTATGGTTCTTCAAAATCCTCTTAAATTTGAAGGATTTTCCACATGTATTACACTTATAAGGTCGCTCTACAGTAGTATGAACCAATGTATGTAATTTCATATTGCTCTGGTTTTTGAAGGATTTTCCACATGAAGTGCACTTATAAGGTCGCTGTCCCGTATGAAGCAATGTATGTACCTTCAAATTGCTTTTAAATCTGAAGGATTTTCCACATGCAGTGCAGGTATAAGGTCTCTCTTCCGTATGAACTAACTTATGACTGTCCATACCTTTTTTGGTTGTGAAGGTTTTTTCACAAGTATTGCACTTAAAAGGCCGCTCTCCAGAATGCATCATTAAATGACTCGTTACTTGATCTAGTCGGATAAATGTTTTCTCACATTTCAAACATTTAAAGGGACGCTCACCTGTATGCTTCAATATATGATTCCTCATTTTTGTCTGACATGAAAAGATCTTTCTACATAATGGACACTGATTAGAAAGCTTTTTAGTGATTTTTAACATTTTAACTTTTTACTATCTTGCTTTATGGAACTTATCAGATAACCTAGTCGCTAATTAATTACTCATTAAGACAGAATACTTTGTATGTCCATTAAAATATTTCCCCTGTTTGAAGATATTGTTAAATGTTCTAAAGTTATATTTATGGGTCTCATTTAATTTTTAGACATATCTTGCTCTAATCTCATAACTGATTTGTGTAACTTATTGTACGATATAGATGTAGAATGTTACCGTACTTCTTTTACTTGTCTCTTAAGTTCAATTGTATTATATTACTTGGCCTATTTAAATAAATTATCAGTTTTTTTTTTACTTTTAAACATTTATCAAATCTTATATTAAATATTAATTATACTATAGAGGCTTAGTTATAGTTTTACAAAGTAGTTATTGACTTTATTGATTCTTTATAGTGTTCAATAAAAACTTAATACCTTTTTTAGCTATTGTTTTAAGTATTACATCAAGATGATATGCAGCTTCACGGCAACAAACTAAAGTTTCTGTTCCTTATGTCTGGGATTGTCTATTGCCACTTCTGAAACAAACCATACATATTTATTGTTTGTTCATTTATGAGTAAAAGGCATTAAAAAAATAATAATAATAGTAATAATAATTTATACTAGCTTATGAATATAAAAATGATTAAAATCAGGGTTGTAGCCTTCACACTATCTAAAATTGAGTATTGTGAATTTGTATGTGTTAAATTTTTACTCTTTGTAAAGTTTCTTGAACCTTGCTCCTTCAAGCAAATCTTTTTCCTACTTCAACCCAATATTTTGGCATAGTTAGAAAAGGTCATTACATCCTATTTAACATAAACTAGAGGTTGTCCAGTGGTCGAAAACTCAACCAATAATATATAGATGGGGCGATAATTTGCCGATTCCGCTGTATCACTTAATATTCTTGTGATTTCTGGCCATTTTGGATTGCAAGTCATTGTGATGAATTAAGTAGGTTTGCCGTGAACTTGAACTATAGCCATTGCATCTAAATAGTTCTGGAAGATATATTCAGTGTGAGCATAAAGTGTTTAATACTGAAATGATTTTTGGGTTAGGGTCCCTTCCCAGAATCAATGCAGGCCCCCTTGAATTAGCTTAGTTTTATGTTATCCCAGGGACCAACATATATGTACGGTAGTCAAAATCTTGAATGAACACACAGGTAAAGTTAGGGCTACGTGGCCCTTTGTTACACTTAATCGACTAACCAACACAAGTGGACTTCTCATCCCATTTTAAATTTTAAAGCTCATTTTTCGTGTCTATCTCATGTTCGACATTGATCAAGCGTCCACGAAATTTTGTTTCTATTATTTTAGGGATATTTCAAGATTTGTGCTTTTCTATTTGGTTGTATTACTAGGGGACAAGTTATTGTTTAAGATTAGATCGTTTATTTGGTTGAATGAGGTTTTAAATGACTGAAATACAGTAGAACCTCTTTAATCCAAACTAATTGGGACCGGGGGTTCTTCGGACTAGTGAATAGTTCGGATTACAGAACATATTATTGTTTTTACATAACAATAGCTAAAATGGATCGTAATTTTTTTGGGAAAAGTGAAAAATGCTTTATAAAGTAAAATACAGTGATTATTTAATACAGTAGTAAACTTAGTGATAAACAGTACTGTACATTACAATAGAAACAATTGCGATGCGTATATAAAAAAAATACAGCATACAATAAAGAACTAGGTACTGTACTGTGTATAGAGTACAGCAATGAGGCGTTCGGATTAGTGGATGTTTGGACTATGGGGGTTCGGATTAAAGATGTTCTACTGTAACAAGAAACAAATTGTAAACACAAAACACAGCCCTCTACAGTGCACTGACAGAACCAACAATAAAATTGACTTCTGGCTAAGGATGAGAAATCTACTAGGGGAGTATGGTTTATCATTGACTATAGGTATAAATAGTCAATGGCTTTATCTATTTCTTTATTTTACAAAATTGTAAATGATTTTGAAGAATTTGTCTAATAGGATCTAATACAAAGCTGCACTTAAAAGGTTTATGTAAATGTTAATGACAAAAGATGTTTAGGCCTAATACTAAATATGTTTTTAAAAACTCCATTAGGAATGAATGTTTGATATTTCAGGCCAAAGAATCTCAGGAAACCCCAAACTGATTCATAGAGATACTGATTTGGGAAACAGACAGAGGCTGATTCATGAAATAGCAAAGCTGATGTATGCAGGAATGCAAAAACTGTGCGCATAGCGTTCTTGAAACTAATGCTTTGTTCGGTATTGTCATTTAGACATACCGTACGTATATAATTCAGTATCAGTAGCCTAACTTGCTTTCACTTTAATTAACAAATTCTGTATATTTTCAAAATAGCTCGTTACATTTCCACTAGTCGTGTATTCCTTTGGACCTAAGGGGATTTGCTCGCATGGACTAGCCAGTCATTATCCTAGTTTACCCTATGTCTGTTGGTTTGAATATGGTACCATAGAGTGTATAAAACAGAATTAGCTACTAGATCAATGTTGGGGAAGCTACTTTTAAATCCAATCATTTTACTTCCTTTATGTTGTGCTTAAAAGTTATTTTACCTACGACCGTTTTTTAAAGTAGCCGTTTCAGTTCAGTTCTTAGAATTGAAAAGTTTCACATAACAGCATTGTTTACTTTCATAACAGCATAGTTTTACTCATAACAACAAAGGTAACGGACCAATGAGGTTCAAGGATTGATAGAGAATTAAATTGTAATGATTTGAACTTCAACTAATCAGCTGTGTTTGCAAGTATCAAAAGCGCTTTGACATACAGGGCTCTTAAAACAACTGACTGGGTGGGATACAGGGAATCCCTCAGGGATGAAGTTGAAGATAAGGTGACCCCAACTCATGACCATTAACGGCCTTCACATGAAGGCAGAACTGATAAACAGGTCAATGCTAAAAGCCTACGAGGTATACCGTCATTGAGGGCAGGTATACTGTCCTCTCAAAACCAAAAGGACAACAAGAAACGTGCCCTGGTGGAACGAGAGGCTAAGCAAGATGAGATGTAAACTCCGGAAACTCTTTAACACCACAAAAAGAACGAGGGATTGGGCTAACTACTCAAGAGCCTTAATGGAGTACAACTCAGAGACAAGGAAAAGTAAAAGGAAGACCTGGAGGCAGTTCTGTGAGGGGATTCAAAACCTACCAAAATCAGCCAGACTCCAAAAAGCCCTTCAGAGAGATGTGCCTAATCCTCTTGGCACATTAATACCGGAGGATGGGAGTCACACAACAGGCATGGAGAAGACTTTTGAAGTCCTCATGAACACCCACTTCCGAGGGAACACCCCATTAGGCAATTCAACAGGACAACACTTGATACCCTGGAATAGGAAATCACCTAGGGAAATTGCAATGGCGAGAAGATTCATGCATAAGAATGCATGGGACGACCTAGTGCTGACTGTCAGAGGAAAACATGCAGCCACAGTGAACAACCTCACCCAGACAGACATGAGCTTCATTGAGGGGTGGTGCTCCAAAGAGGGCCTCACAATTAACCCTGACAAAACTGAGATAACCTTTACAAGAAGGAGAACAAATCTAACACCCCCCGAAATTCAGGGGAAAAGAGTGAAACTTGTGAAGGAAACAAAATACCTTGGAGTTTACCTGGACCAGAAACTTACCTGGAGCAGCGAATTTTGACTATGTACTTGCAAAAGGCACAGGAGCATTTGGAGCCTGCAGAAGAACCTTTGGCAAGAAATGAGTCCCAATCTTATACATTGGACTTATGAAGCTATAGTACTATGAACCAATGGTTTCATACTCAGCCTTAGTGCGGTGGCCTAAGGCTGAGCAGTTAATCTAGGGATCCCAGAAGTCTTCATTTCCCAGGACACATCCCCTTTTTGGGTACATAAGTCCGGGGGGATTTTTGGCAAAACTTTAAAATGTCTGGGATTTAGACAAAAAAATTAATAAATAAAATTATTCTTGAACGCATAGTAGGCCTAGTATTAGTAATTGGCTCAAGTCATCAATTGCCCAGGATGTGACTGAAATTAATTGGAAATAACTTAAAATATTGTGTCACTGTAATGATATCTTGTATTTAGAAGTCCTGTTTCCTTTTTGGATCAAATTTTATGTTTAAAGCTTTTAAGTTAAGACTGTTGTCAAAATTAGCTCAGCTGTTTCTGTATCTACTCACCACCACCCAGACCAGCGACTATCTAACTACAGCTAGACCTAGAGCTCCTCGTCTGCTTTCTGCTTACGTTTACACTCCTACACGCTTACATCAAAATAATTTTCTTACTTCTTGTTTTGTCATTTTTGAACGTACGTAGTACCTACTAATGCCGAAAAGAAATTTGTACTCTCAGTCAAGTTGAAAAAGGGATTTGTTGCGAAAAACGTGTAGCCTACTTCTCCAACCTTTAGGCCGGCCGCACACTGATGCGACAAAACGTCTTTCGACAAAACGTTTTGTCGAAAGACGTCGGAAGGGAGTGGCCTACCATGCAGTTAAATGGAGGCATCACACACTGATGGGACAGAGGCTTCAGACGTGTTGTTTTGTCTGAAGACGTTTTTGGGTGTTTTTGTGATAGCCTCCAATATTTTGTCTGAAGCCAAAACGCGATCAGACAAACAGTTCTGCGCATGCGCGGATACAGTACAACTTATCTATATATTGTAATAATTTTTCTTACAGTTAGTAGTAGTTCATTTTCGATTCATGCAGAAAATAATAAAACGATATTTTAATTTCAAATATTTTAACTTATCTATATTTTGTAATAATTTTTCTTACAGTTAGTAGTTGTTAATTTTCAATTTATGCAGAAAATAATATAATGTTACCTATTTCAATTTCAAATATTTCAGCTTATTCCATATTTTGTAATAATTTTCTTAACAGTTAGTAGTCGTTCATTTTAGATCTATGCAGAAAATACAGAAAATTTATGCTGCCTTCTTATTAACTGAGTGGGGATCCAGTAATTCAGACAAAAGTTTTGGAGTTAAAAGCCTAAGTTGCCAATTTTTTCCAATAGCATTGTTAACATAAGCATGCTTGAATGAAAATTAAAAGCAAATATTTTAGAGATAGTAAAATCTTTGCAAGAAAAACAAAAATTCTAGTTTAAAACTTCTAAAGCTTACAATATTACAATATATACCTTGATCGTTTTTATGAATTGTCAGAGAATATTTAGTTTAAAATGTGAGGTACCAAAATGTGTGAAGGACCTGAAGCCCTACCACCGGACGCGTTGCAGAAAGTCTACAGTCCCGGAAGGTCAAATAATTTATACCTGTGCCGCTAGGTCAAAAACTACAATGTTTGCAGTGTCTGTAGATCAAAAATCCCAGTAAGTCAAATAGTACAGTCCGGGCTAAAAACGTAGTCTATGTTAAAGCAATTGACTTATTGGGAATTTGACCTAATGCAACAGCAGTTTTAATATATCGAAATAAGATAAAATATAAGTTCAGTTTCGCTTGAGTCAACAGTGCCGGAAGGTCAAAAGTATAATCTGTTAAAAACAACGATAGTCCTCTCGACGCATGACTTCAATAATTTCGTGTTTTGGTGTACTTAAAGTTGTGCTAAAATTTTGGCGTCACATTATTATTATTATTATTATTTCTTTGTCATGAGAGCCGAAACCCCCTGACTACGTACCCGGTACCTATCGTGAGACATACCCGGGCCCCATGATGTAGGCCGAAGCTTACGCATCAACCTTTAGCACATCATGGGCGGATGACTTAAGGTCATCAGGCTCGCCGGCTGCCGAAGCAAGCATTTGGCGTCACATGGATCACTTTGCGATCAAGGTAATGTAACCTTATATGTTATCTGAGCCTTCGATTAAATTTTAATAAATTGATCAGTCAAAGCCGTGACAAATTCGTATCGACCCCTGGATTTTTCTTGGCTCCTTCTGAGCACTCCGGGGAAGAAATTTGAGTGCGGCCGATTCTAGGGGTAGGCCTAGCCTGACTTTTGGTGAATACTGATTTCTAGTTTATTCCCCCCTGGAATTTTGCGTCACAAAAAAATTCTGAAATGCTGAAAGTTCTAGTACCTATTTAAAATAGTCTAGAAACACTTTTTTTAAAGCCTTTAAAACACATAAAAGTAAATCTAAATTAAAAAAAAAATCCACTTAATTACAGATTGTCCTTTATGTTATTTTAACTCAAACTTAAAAAAAATTAGAATAAATTGTAACATATTTCCGTCTTGTCCATGAATATATTTTAGGCCCTTTTTTAACTCATGAAACCCCAACTAAAATTAGTATTTTACAATGCACGATCTAATAATCTACAAAACATAACAAATTTAGGCCAAAAATGTTGATTAAAAAGTAGCCTATTTTTGACAATTTTCCTACACACCGACATTTATGTGGAGAAATGGCCAGCATTCCTAAAAGCAATACCACAAGTAGGCCTGGAAAACCTCAAATAAAATTGTTTCACCCGCTCGAGGCACTCAAAGGGTTAAAAAATAGCTACCAGCTTAATGCAAAAAAATCTGAAAAGTAGCGTAGCTGCTGCTAACACTACAATAAAAGTAGCACGCTAATTATTCTCAACACTGTAAACTAACTAGATGCAGTTTGTATTTTATTGTTGGTTGAAAGTGTTTTTCGATGTCCATTGAATTTATAATAGCTCGTTTACAACTAATGTGTAGTGAGAATCAAGTAGATATTTACCTGAGTCCTGTCTGAAGTTAGGAGTGGTGGTGGGGGGACATTTGAACTACTTCTGTTCCTGGGCGCACAAAAACCTGGCTATACTTATGCCACTAATGCCAGTGTCTCCAACACATTCTGCCCTGATCACTGAGCCAATCCAAACTAGAAAATATGATGGAATTGAATACCTAGATTTCAATGGTCAAATTCACTAATGTCACTTTACAATGCCTATGTATAGGCGAAACCTGTAGTAAGATTGACCATAGCCTACTCTATTGAACTGTGGATGTAAGGTGTGTATACCTACCTACCTTAAATAGGGTTGCCATATCCCCGGAGATTACCGGATTTTTATGTTCAAAATTTAGCTCCGGGGCATTTCTGCAAAAAGTGAGAAATCTCCTCTTTTTTACTCTCTATTAAAATACATTATAAAACGGCACTTTTGGAAAAAAATAAATGTTTGCCTTTGCTGATATCGTTATGCAATAACTGAAAAATGCAACTCTCATACTCTACTAACGTTTTTTTATTCCTTGGTTTCACTTTCGCTAGCAACACCCTTAGTTTATCTTTATCGTCTGTTTCATTGCTCCCAGTCCTTCAATTTGCGTCTGCCGGCCAGTCCGAAGGTATCCGTGCTCACTACCAAAGCCTAGCAGACAGAGAGCGTTTTGTTGCCTTTATTCGGTTTATTTGTTATTTATAAGTGAGATGTGACAAGCGATGCAACATTTAATATTTTGGTGTACCGTTTGAATATTGACATTGCGTAAACTTAGCATGAATATTGGGTATTTATTCCGTATAGGTGCCTCCAAACGAATTTTTAATTTTTATATCTTACTTTATAGTTTTTTACCTTCTGAATCCAAATTTACCATTATTTTTCACCGCTAATGAATATTTCTCAAGATATCACCGTAAAAAAATACTTAACAACAATAAACAAGATAGGATGGATAACATTTCAAGTGATTCTGTAGTCATATAACTTAATGTTCTAGCTATAATAGGAATTTCGTCACATTATTGAGATATAGATGGACTGGTGGACTAATAACATGTAGTTGTTATTTAGGCATGTCAGGGTGGTAGGTTGTGCTGAGAAAAACACTTCAAATTACTTTTTCAAAAATGTTTGCATTTTTGAAATAGTAATTTGAAGTGTTTTTTTCTGGATTTTAATTTTACAAAAACAGTCTGCAGGTGACATAAACTAACAACTTGATACATTATAACCTAAACTTTAACTTACCTAATCTAACCTACCTTCAAAGGACTTAATGCAGTCACCAATTCACATACAGCACGACCTATCACCCTGACATGCCTTTTCTGACATCAAAAGGAGTTTGCTTAAACACATTCTAGAGGTTTGGTTAGGTTAGGTTATGTTAGAATAGCACCATTTTATTAGGTAATTTCTAAACGGCGAAATATAAATCAATAAATCATTAATAAGGATAAAATACTGGTTACAATGAAACATTATTAACTTATTGATCTTAGAAAGTGAAAAGTGTAACTTAATCAGGTGATTTTCATATTGCAGAATCAGAGTTAGCTAATTAAAGTTGTCACTACCATTTGCGTGACTGATTGAAAACAATCAGCTGTTGGTTTACTTAACCCATAGTTCATTCCACTTGTAAATGTCATCCACCCTACCTTGTTTATTGTAATGTTGTATATTATTACGGCGATATCTTGAGAAATATTCATCAGCTGTGAAAAATAATGGTATATTTGGATTCAGGAGGTAAAAAACTATAAAGTAAGATATCAAAATTAAAAATTCATTTGGAGGCACCTATACGGAATAATTACCGAATATTGGACAGAAACGGTATTAACTAATAAATATAAACAAATTACGTCACTGGCCCAAATGTCTATAGGCTAATAGCGGTAACAACTGGATGTTTTTTGACAGTTCCATTTAAATAAAAACAAAAACGTGTTTACTTTCGGGCTAGTGACATCATATTGTTAATGTTTAACTTAAGTTCATGACCCATAGTTTATGTCGTAATATTATTGCTACTAGGTACGGTATACAATTTTGCTAGCCCGATAAATTTTATTCATTTTCATTCATTCATTTTCATCCACTATTATAGTGGGGGCCGCCAGCTAAAATCTCCTCTTTTTTGTACAATACCATATGGCAACCCTAACCTTAAATAATAATTTAATTTTACAGCCAATTGCTTTAATTGTTCCAGGGTGAAATTCACTTATACCTAGGCCTATTTGCTTTTTGTGACACCAGTAGGTAAGTTACTTTGGTATTATTCGGAGGCCACCCTTATACAGCGAGCTGCGGCGGTTTTGTTAGGTTGGGTTAGGCCTATCATAATATATATTTGCAGGATTTTTCTCATATTCGTTATGAATCAATGATACCAGATGAGCCATACTTTCGCCCGCCAAATCCCCTCCAAGTAGGCCAAGGTCAGGTCGTTGTCCGGAGCGTGCACATCACCTGTCACCGCCTGTATATCTGGGTCAATGTCATAAATGATGACTCAACTGGTATTGTTAAATTCATAACATAACGAGGAAAGTCCTTCAAACATAGGCCTATTTATGATAACCCAACTTCACATAACCGCCGCAGCGCACTGTATACCTACTTGGGATGTGGCAGCTACTTAGCGGCGGCAACGCATTCAACTCAATCCTCGCCGATATCACTGCCTTGTAGGAGGCAAAACTAAAAGGTCGCTTATTGTAATGATGTCAAATTTAATAGGTACGGTATGTTCTTTCCAATTAAGTAGTTAAGTTATTTTTGACCTCCGATAGAAAAATCCCTCTAAAATAAGTGGCCTCAGGATAATACCAAAGGTTGCACTTTAGTTTACATCCTAAATTTACTATTACACAATATACATTAACTACCAGAGCTGATTATAAAATGAAACTGTTCTAAACTAAGTTAAACCATAAACCTAACCTTAACTTAACCAAACTGCAGTAGGCTTATGTGAGTAAATGTAGGATGTAAGTAAGTGCAACCATACCTTTGTCTGATTTTTGTTATTAAAATCGTTGAAATTTATTTTACTAAGTTTTAAGTTTGGTATTTATTCCGTAAAGGTGCCTCCAAACGAATTGTTAATTTTGATATCTTACTTTATAGTTTTTTACCTCCTGAATCCAAATGTACTATTATTTTTCACCGCTGATAAATATTTCTCAAGATATCGCCGTAAAAACATGCTTAACATTACAATAAACAAGATAGGATGGATAACATTTCAAGTGATTCTGTAGTCAAATAACTTAATGTTCTCTAATAGGAATTTCGTCACATTATGGAGATATAGATGGACTGGTGGACTAATTACTTGTAGTTCTTATTTAGGCATGTCAGGGTGGTAGGTTGTGCTGTATGTGAATTGGTAACTGCATTAAGTGTTTTGAAGTTAGGTTAGATTAGGAAGGTAAAGTTTAGGTTATAATGTATCGAGTTGTTAGTTTATGTTGCCTGCAGACTGTTTTTGTAAAATTAAAATCCTGAGAAAAACACTTCAAATTACTTTTTCAAAAATGCTTGCATTTTTACCGTTAACGGAAATAACGGAATAATAATTAGGCCTACCTTAAGTTTCTACCACATCACTATAAACATGACTACATAACCTATTGCCGTGAGTTAAGTATGGAGAATATTTTCACACCTTAAACTATTGATGTAAGCTTAGTTTAATTTTAGTTTTAAAATAAACTTTATGAGTCATTCAGATTGTTTGGTATTAGTATTCGAAGTATTGTGTTGTGTTTTAACATAAAATTACCTGTAATTTATTTCAAATATTTTGAACTTGAAGACAAAGAAAGGATTGAAAGGAAGGAATCTTACGTTTAGTCAGTACTGCCAACAGTGCCAAGTGCCAACAGTGCCAAGCCAGCCAACTGCCGTATGCCGTCTGCCTCTGCCACTAACCACTGTCCACTACAAGGGAGTATGTTTTATCTATGCCACTCACTGAGCTATAATTCTAACTGGAGGTAGCACTGAATGTCAAAGATGCGTGTCGCCAGCCGCCATGTTTGCGTGAGGTGTGAGTTATAAGAAGCCATATTATTGCTATGGCTATTATTATACTTGGCTTAAAATACCTACTTTGTATGGTCGCCATTTCAAAGAAAATTATTAAAGTATTAAAAGTATTCAAGTATGACAAAAATACTCACTGCTATACCAACCTAGTTATAAGAAGCCATGTTATTGCTATGGTAAGAAAACTTACTGCTATACCAACCTAACAAAATCAGCGACTCGCTTTTGACAGACTTCTGCCATGGCAGTGCTACCTCCAGTTATAATTTTAGCTCAGTGATGCCACTACGCACTAGACTGAGACCTTGGGCTGAGACTACTACTCCAAGCCCGAAAGAATTTTTTCCTACAGTCCCCCGACAAAGTTGGATTCCTTGTACTGTTTATAGTACAGAACAGGGCCGGACTTACCTATGGGCGGAAGGGGCGATCGCCCGGGGCCCCCGGGCCAAGGGGGGCCCCGACCCCTTGCACAGTAGTTTTTATTAATAACTTTGAAAATTGATCAGACACTTACCAAATGGCCTTTTTTTGTAACAGCTTTATTTTTATTTTCGTTATCCTATATTTAAGGTTATTGTTAGGTACATTTTAAGGCATTACTAGGAGCGAAATTCTTGATCCTAAGGGACTTTTCCTCAGAGTTGCACTGGGCCCCACGCTTAGGCCTGGTTTACACGAGCATATGTGCTAGGCTGTGATGGACAAGTTTCAGTTTCAATGAAGCCGCTCGCCCGAACGTACGGCCGCGGCGAATGAGTTGAAGGGGGCCCCGCGCTTGGGGCAAAAATACAATAAATATGAAAACTCTTGTCCCAACGTAGAACGTAACTTTTGTTGTGTTGAATGGAGATTCACTGGAGTTCAAATACTTTAAAAAATAAAAACATTGCTCCGTTTATGTTTTATTATGTTATTCTTTTCTTTTACCTCTAAGTATATACCAATCAGGATTTTAAGGGGTAGAAGTATATTATCCGTTCAATGTAAAATAGTAATCAATTAAGTTATGCGTCGAAATGTTGACCTCCAATTTAGTCTTTGGAGTCAAAATCATACTGCGCCAGTAAGATTTTTTAAATCTTATAGACACTTCAAAACAACTAGAGTCGTCTGATGTTAACAAAAAATAACATTTATTGGGAGTGGGCGAGCGTTGTCGACTGAAATCGTAAACAAGCGATAAGCAGAAGCAGCTGCAACAATCAATGATAATGAGCTGATAAGGGATCCTGTCTAGTCCTGTCTGCCTCACGCGGTAAAGCGACAACAGGACTGAATTCGACCTGGGCCAGCCCGAGCCCTCGTTCACGGAAATATTTACTCCTTTTAATTTGTCAGCAATTGTCATTATTAATATAATTTAAACAGGTATAATCGTCTTTGTATATAATAACTAGCCGCTATTTCAGTGCCTTGCAACGAGATCAAGATTCAGAAAAGAGAATTTTGGTTCCTTTAAAATGCCGTAAAATGGTTGTTTGATCATCCATTTATTTAGATACGAAATTAAACTGTACCCCTTAGCTTGATAACAGTCCGTTTTGTTAACTCAGACTGTGAACACTTATTTAGGCTAGTGATTAGACTAGTTTAATTCATAAGTTTTAATAAAACTATTGATTGGTAAAGTTAAACTAAAATATACAAAACAGAATACGCACAATACAATGCAATTTGTTGTTGTTATACAAATAAATAATCATGCCAGATTTTAATAAGGCAACAAATTGAAAGAACAACATACAGATAAGTACAGCTGAGGTATTTTAACATGGAAAGTTCCCTTTAGAAAGGAATTTAAGGGGAAATTATGCATAGTTTTTGTGCAAGGTTTCTCGTCATGACGAACATTTTAAGTATGTGATTTATGGAGGTGTGACCTTACGTTTTCTCAAACGTTCATGGGTACTTTGGGATTTATATATAGAATATTTTTTTACCAAATAAATCATGAACAACTAAACGATTTGACGTACAGCGTTACGATGTTGTACAAATCTTTAGTTATTATTTACTTTTTTGCGCTTAAGAGTCTTCCGTAGTGGAAGCCATGTTGGATTTCTTCCCCATAAGAACAATGCTAAACATTACATCATTTGTGGACACGTAACGGCGTTATTTGTTAAGATATAGCTTTGAAATTTATAATTTGTATTTTTAACATAATAGACTCGTGACTGAGGTTTTTGAATTTCGGAAATCCATTTTCATTTCCTTTCAATAATTAGCTTAATTTTAAGCTAATTAATAATCAATTATTCATTATAAAAATTAAAAATTGTGAAATAAAAAACGTCAATCTCTAGAGGACCGCAATTCCTTAAATTTAACTCCTTATCCATAATTATATGACAATTTGATGATGAGATATTTGGACCCAAAGTTAACATTGTTCTTATGGGGAAGAAATCCAACATGGCTTCCACTACGGAAGACTCTTAATTATACTAAAATACCATTAACCGTTTCAAAATAGAAAAAAAATCTACCGGCATCCCTGAGCGAAATTCCTAAACTCCAAATAACTTGTTGTGTATTCAAATGTGAAATATCGACATTTTATTTATTTTTTAGGCCATATAAAGACAATTAGTAAAATTCTATTCAGTGGTGTCGGTAGATTATTTTCTAACTTTGAATTCATGTATTTATATCGGACTTCGCGTTGAAGCAGGAAACTAAAAGAAATTTTTAATTACAATTATTTTAAATATTTGTTCGGAATGTATCTTATACTAACTTATAAAAGGCAAAGCCCTCACTGACACACTCACTCACTCACTCATCACTAATTCTCCCACTTCCCATTTACCTAGGAGGCTGAAATTTGGTACACCGATTCTTTAGGCATTAAATAGAAAAACTAAGTTGTTTTTATTCTGATCGGACTCTCGGGCTCCGCCCCAGTGGCTCTGGAGTTTCCCATGTTAACCTTATGATTTTTCATGTTTAAAAGGAATTAATGAATCTTATCAGCTGTTTCAATTAAACAAGTTGGTTCTGTTCTATGATGTTCAATAGCCTTAAAGTTACAAGGATTACCAACAGGGTGCAGCACAATTTTTTTTTTATTTATGACAACAGCTAATTTGCAACTAAAAGGTGAGTGAGCGTAGCGAACGAACTTCAACCAGGACGTGATTGAGCCATGCGAACGAGCTCATCTTGAAAATTAAGAAGTTAAACGGGGCAAAACCCGCGGGTACAGCTAGTATTATTATAAACGTATCTTTCTATCTTAATATACAGGGTAAATCTCGTAAGGTGTCCAGTATTGATTTAAGACAAACCGTTGGTCCTAAGATGATGAAGTAAAATAATTTCCCACTAAACCAACCCCAAGGAATAACGTAAAAATATTTTTTACGATTTTTAAATGCAGGGTGTACCAGAAAATGAGGGCCACTAGTCCGAATCTACGAAATATCAAATACAAACGTATATCATGTTATACATCAAATTAAAGCTCTTTTCAATCCAAACCATTTGGCGGAATCGGATTTTGATTCATTTAAAAATGGCGGCTGTTTTTGTGAAAAATTAATATATTTTTGAATGCCCTGTATTTTTCTAAAAAATGTAGATATCTTGATTCTGATTCAAATGTTGCATTCCTTATGAGCTAAGCTTTATTTTGATATGCAACACTTTAATATTATCTCAAAAACTGAAAGTTTCAAAAAAATCAGTTTTTTAAAATAGCCTATGTACATAGCCAAAACTTAACAATTTCAAATAGCACCATATGTCAAATAGCATATCATTTTAAAGGTATTGCAATTCTAAGAAACTTTTAAATTTAAACCTTATGCGTATCTATTTTGGTTTCCAAGTTATCAACAAAAAACATGTTTTCCCACTTTAAAACGCATGTTATTTGTTAAACGTGGTGGTAAAGGCTGGACCATAGTTCTAGGCGTCTGGCTGACGCATGCACATTCATTTGCTGTGTATAGCTTTAATTTGATGTATAACATGATATACGTTTGTATTTGATATTTCGTAGATTCGGACTAGTGACCCTCAGTTTCTGGTACACCCTGTATTTAAAAATCGTTAAAAATATTTTTACGTTATTCCTTGGGGTTGGTTTAGTGGGAAATAATTTTACTTCATCATTGTAGGACCGTCGGTTTGTCTGAAATCAATACTGGACACTTTACGAGATTCACCCTGTAGTACTCGCCTAAAATCAAAAGTGTGTCACTGATGTAGCATGTAACCTCAGGTAGTATAAATATTTTGTTACTTAAGTTCTAGCTATGTGATGGACAGTATCCTCTGTTTAACAATCACTTGTGAAAGATTGAAATATATTTGTGACAATAAAGAAATATTTCATTTCTAAAACAACACTTCACCACGACAACATTTGGTTCCGTTAATTATTGAGATTTTCTATATTTAACAACTTCCCGTTCACCTGACGCATTGTTAACGAATAGAAACATCTGCGTCGTGCTAGGAATTCCAGGAAGGGTCACACATTCCCTTTCCTCTGTTCATAGTTCTCAATATTCTGTAATCTGGACCTTCCAGCTACTAGGTTGTATTTAATGAGTTACTGGAAAATAATTTATCCACTACAACACCAATGCCAATGAACTTTCTGAAATATGTTCGCAGAAAATAACAGATCAGTGTCCGTCCAAAACAAACCCTATGACCTCAAATTTATGAGCTGCATTTGCCGCAATCCGGAAAGTTCGTGAGATGCGTTTATTTAATTTAATGTCATTTTATTTTCCACAGAAATGCCATTTACAATAATAAC